AGTGTGCGAGGTGCAGGCAACGGAGAATCTTTTGTCACTCAAACAGCCCCACCTGATTCACAGGGAGCTTTGTAACAGTCTCAGGAAACGATCTGCATCCTGTGCCCCTGGAAACCGAAAGCAACAGGCTGAGCTGCCCCTTTCCCAGAAATGGGAGGAAGTCACGAAGTGGGGCTGGCTCTGAGGCACCAACCTGCAAACAAAATTCCTACAGCCCTTAACTCTTGCACGGAAACACAAGGGCCTGGCATGTGCAGCTCTTTAGCGGCACCCATCCGACAGCAGCTCGAAAGCTTGTCTCTTTCCCCAGTAGAAATTTGTCCAGTAAGAGATATTAGCTCACCCACCTTGTCTCTCTCAAACTTTATGTAAGTGGGGGATGGGAGGAGCGAGGAGGGATGGTCCCACTGTTATGGGGAATTTTCCTGGCTTCTGCATTGTCCTGGTGAGATCAGATAGAGAAAGGATCTGAGTCCTCGCTCCAGCTCCCTGTACCCAGAGGCCGGCCGCCCTCGGCTCCCCTTCCTCCCTCCCACGCGACAGAGTTCTCAAAACCCTGACAAGGCTGGGCCCAGGATCCCTGAGGGCCGGAAACCCCACTCTCGTCATGGTCACTCAGGACAGGGGTTGGGGTGTCCCCACTCCAGGGTGCTCTCTCCACATCGGCCACTTTCCTGACCCCCTGATCAGTGCATTAAATTCAACCCAAATACAATTTATTAAACAGCAGCTGTAAGAAATATACGGAAAAGGTTAAAGGAACAGGGACTCTGCCTTGTGGGCATGGGGATACCAGCCGTCTCTGGGATGTAAGGAAAGTTCACCGTCTGTTCCTCCCACATCCCAGACCTCCCTCCCAGGCCCTGGCTGCGCTGTGGTGACACACGGTCAGACCCTGCTCTGGCAGTGCCCACAGGCTCTCAGTTTCCAGAGGCCAGGATCCTTCTCCCCAGCATCAGCCCCCCCCCCATCAGGGTCATGTCTCTGCTCTGGCAGTGCCTACCCGCCCTCAGTTTCCAGGGGGTAGGATCCTTCTCCCCAGCATCAGCCCCCCCATTGGGCTCATGTCCCCCCTCTGAGCCCAGTCTGCAAGGTCTCATGTCTGGCAACATCTCTCAGTGCTGGACCTCTGCCCAGGGCCCCCTGGCTCTCCCCAGCCACTCATGGCGCTTGGCTGCAGGGTTACAGGTGACAGGGCTGGTACCCGCTGTCCCAGCTCTGGCCCCGCAAATCCCCCTGCAGCTTGGCCCTGGCTCCCTGTCGGCGCGTCTGGTCTGCACCTCA